TTTTCCTATATTACTTTTCTATTAACTATTTCAAGCCAACTTCAAGCTAGGATCGGTTGGAGCAACCTACTATTACACGTTCCACCATGTAATTATTTTTCGTAATTTCCTTTCAATTAGTATATATTGACTGTCGCCATTGTGTTCGTATTTCACGCCACCTTTTGGGGTGTGGCTATAACACAATCTGTATCTCAATTTCAATCTTTCTAATAGTCCTCAATTACGTACTATATTACAAGATTTTCTATTGTTACTTATTTTCATACTATTACACTCTCCTATCTACTTCTTGCAGCAACTTTATAATTTTCCCAAATTGGTTCATTCCGGCGGTTTGTCACTTTTCTTGCTCCCATATTGGTATATACAGCCTTCTCTATATATTGATACTTTACAGCACGGCTGGATTTATCGAATCTACAGTTGTTATCTGCAGTGTACCATCTACTTTATACAATACTCCCATAGTTGGTATAATTGACTGTAGCATGGATACCGAGGCTTCCCATTATAACTTATATTATATAGGTATACTACTAATGATCGTTTTACTTCCAGCTTGGTGATGCAAGAGCACCTGGAACCTTGACTTATAGCGCATCAGTATGGCACTTATCATCGACATTGTGATATGCAGTATTTCCTTATTAGTTTTCCAATTTTTCAATCTTGTATGCCAGAGGTGTTTCTTTATTTGGTAAAGCTATCCTCTTATCACAGCCCCTTACTGTATTCGCCGCTTTTCTCACCACTTCCAGATATGCTGCATTTAGCTGTCCTCCCAATCAAGATTCCCAAGACCACCTTAGGGTTGTTGGTGCTACCTAGCCAATCGAGGATTTACATGCACAGCCTTATGCGGTATTACTTTCTGTGATGCCATGTCACACATAGTGCCCAGTCTTCTCTATGGCTCGGGACTCCTTCCAAGAATTCTTTATAGGCCAAATAAGTACTTCACATGGTCTTATCGTCACAGGGTTTCGCATTCGAAAGCTCCCGTAGGTTACAGAGATAACTAATTAAATTAATTACCACCAGCTATAATCGAACCGTTGACCTCATCTGTGGAGGGTTAGGCGCCTAGACCACTAGGCTATGGGACCCTAACCCTTAGCAGCTTGAAGCTATTGAAAATGACATATTTAGTTTTATTCTATATAAAGCGGTTGAGGTTCTTTAGATTTCCTGCACCGTACGTACTGTACGTATCTTATTTGTAATTAAAGTTTTGTATTGATGCACAGTTTTATCCTTATAGTTACACAAAGTTAGTGTATATGCTGTGTATTATTTATACTATATAGGTCTTCAAAAAAGAGGGGGGGGGTTATGTTAAACAGAAAATCAAATTGGTATAGCCTTAAGGTGATAAATTAGCAAATAACTAATACGTATAAGAAATGGAAATGGCTGACATGTTCGGGTGCATAGACAATTAATCATATCGCATTATAATTAAATACAAAAAGAATAAAAACCAAATGATTTTAGTATACTAGAATTTGGCAAGGAACTACCTGATGGCTTTCTACACATTTGATATAGATATCGAGACTAATGATTATTAGAAAAATTTATATTAGCAAAATAGTTTGGCCCGGTCGACCGGCCCGAGCTTTTTTAGGATCGACCCCGGCCCATGATTTTTCCATCGACCCGTATCACTAATCTCGAATAATTATTTGTATATAAGATGGATTGTTCCGCTCGAATTTATAACTTGAAAATATTATTAATATTTCAAATTTTTATCAATAGAAATGTTTAGTAACAAGCGATTTTCTTTTGACAAAATCCCTGATCTTTCTGGCAAAGTAATTTTTAACTTTTAAACTATTTATTGATTTATTTATTTAAATATCTCATGTTTAACTTCTCATATTAAGGTTGCAATAGTGACAGGTGGAAATACAGGTATAGGAATCATAACAGCAAGAGAATTAGCCCGTAAAAATGCTCACGTATTCGTTGCAAGTCGTAGTAAAGATAGAGATGAATCAGCTGTAGAACTAATAAAAGAAGAAACAAAAAATGATGCAGTTGAATTTTTACAATTGGATCTACAAAGTTTAAATTCTGTTAAGATTGCTGCTGAAACATTTTTGGCTAGAAATTTACCATTGCATATTCTGTGAGTGTTATCATAATATATATATATATATATATATATATATATTGCGTTAGAGCTAGAATTTTTTATGTATATTAATATTTACTTTATTCTCAGAGTTAACAATGCCGGTATTTCGTTAACGTAAGTTATTTTTTTCATATCAGATATGTAGTCAATTCAAGGCGTGAATATATATAATAAATTATCAATCTAATTTTTACATTCATATAAAAAAGTCCATTTGCGACAACTGTAGATGGTATCAAGATCAGTTTGACACTAATCATATTGGCCATTTTGTAGGTATGAGAATCTTTTAATTAAATTTTTTTAGAAAAAGTATTATCGTAACATGATTTTTAAATTACGAAATAGGTCTTCACACTCTTGCTGTTGCCAACCATCAAAGCTTCGGCTCCATCACGTATTGTAAATGTTAGCAGGTTAGTTTAATTTCTTTCTATATGCTTCACATTAAGAAACCTAATTTTATATTATTGATTGTTATCGTCTCGGCATGATTTTAGTGGGATGCATAAACTTGCACCTTCACCAGCAGGGATAGAATTTGAAAAGTTGAATGATCCAAAGGCTCTTACCTCTACTCAAAGATACAGTCAATCAAAACTCGCAAATATTTTATTTACTCTTGGACTTAATAAAAGACTTTCAGGAACAAATGTTTATTGTAATTGTCTCCATCCAGGTAAAAAAATATTTTAAATTGGTATTTTACAATATAATACGTGTATGATAAATTATTCTAAATGATATACTATTTAATATCAATAAATTCATACGTATAAATAAGGTGTCGTAAGGACTGAGGCATCGCGTGGAATAGAAGCTGACTGGGGGGCTTGGATAAAACCAATTCTCTCTGTAATTACCTTTTTCTTTTTAACACCCGATGATGGCGCTTTAACTCAACTTTATTGTGCTACAAGTCCTGAAATTGAGGAGAAAAATCTCCGTGGAAAATATTTTGTACCATTTGGTGAAGTAGATGAACCTACTACTCTAGCTAAAGACGAAGAATTGGCAAAAAAATTATGGGATTTTTCTGAAAATTTCGTTAAAGAAAAGTTGGGTGATGACATTTTTAGCAAATGTTATGCATAATTTGATGTCTTTATTTTTATTTTATTTCGTTTTCATATAATTTTCATTTTCATATTTATGTGTGCAAGGAGATTCAATTTAGTCGGATGGCACTATGTGTATATTTTTATAGTTGATATCAAAAAAAATTTTATTATTCGACTGTAACTTATATTTGACTAAGTAAAAGTTTTTCAACACAAATGTTTGTGTGCAGAACATTCTTTAGCCCTAAGCTTTAAAACTCAATTTTTACTGTATGACTAAAGGTGCTGCTGAAATAAAATCTGAGTGGCGAAATAATTTCACCACTATTGGTGAAATTGGCGTTGAATTGTTGAAATTGGTGAAGTTAATTTCTAGTCATTCCATGGCATAAATATATATAATAAATTATCAATCTAATTTTTACATTCGTATAAAAAAGTCCATTTGCAAAAACTGTAGATGGTATTCAAGACCAGTTGGCGTTAATCATATTGGAAGTATGAGTATCTATTAATTAAATTTTTTTTTAGAAACAGTATTATCATAACATGAATTTTTTAAACCACGAAATAGCTCTCTTCACACTTTTACTGCTACAACCATCAAAGCTTCGGCTCAGGTTAGTTTAATTTCTTCTACAGTGCGGGACACCTTAAACTAGCAACTTTTGTTTAAAGTGGCCAAATTTAAGGCAAAATACTAAGTTTTGATTGGCTAATAATTTAAAATTTTATTATGCTTTTAATTTTATTATGTTTTTTGATTTTTTTATTATGTTTTTAATATAAGTGGCCAAATTTTAATTTTATTAGTAACTTTAAAAAGCAATAGCACTTTCAAAATTCATTAAATTAAAAAATAAATTCTGTAATTTTGTCCTGCTTGCTTTTAGTATATTTTTACAAAAAAAAAAAAATTTCATTTATCTATAATTTTCATTTTCATAAATAATTTTTAAAAAATATTAGTTTTCACTTGCTGGTTTAAGGTGTCCTGCACTGTATATTAAGAAATTTAATTATATGTTATTTATCGTCTCGTTATGATTTTAATCGTGCTCATGAAAGAGCACCACCAGCAAGAATAGAATTTGAAAAGTTGAATGATCCAAAGACTCAGACCTCTTTTCAAATATATGGTCAATCGAAACTCGCAAATATTTTATTAATAAAAAGACTTTCAGAAACAAACGTTTATTGTAATTGTAGGTAAAGAAATTTTTCAAATCAGTATCACATTGCTTGATTCGGTATAAAATGCACAAATAGTTGTTTTTATTATTGATTATTATTACATTCATTATATACAGTAAATAATAAACTTGTTTGGCACGTTAGCCCGCCTAATATCGCCACTAGGGTGTCCAGAATTCTGCTGGTAGCTCTATGTAGGATTATTGATTTGACTTAAGACAATTATCATGTATTGTTTCGTGCTAACAATAAGCTACGCCTCAGTTCTGCAAATTCAAAATCATCAGACCAATAATAATACATTATTTAACTGCGGATTCTGCAAATTCTGCAAATTCGACAAATGCACTGCAGAATTTGCAGAATATCTGCAATTGCAGAATTCTGGACACCCTAATCGCCACCAACACCAGGTCGAGTATCAGGCTTATACAATTTCAGGAATATTGTCATTGTTCTGGGCACTCTACACCAGTATATATATTGGATTCGGCCCTTAAATCACATGAAAACATAATACATTTTAGATTGAATTAAATTCCATCGAATAAGTCCGTCCAATCAAATTAATGATCCGCCGAGCATCGCCAAGATCATGTACTGTACGTACGTAGGTACGTACGTACGTACAAAAATTATATTGATATACAAAAAATTCTCTATAAATAATCCCGGCTTACCGGCTTATGCTGAGGGCACAATTGCCACATACGTATTATAGGTTTGTATTGTACGTATAAAAAAAATATCCACGTTATATTTCTTTCTGTTAACGTATAACAGTGAAAAAATCCGAATAACATACTCATACGTAAAGATAAACAAAATTATATCGAAAAGTGGCACACCTTTAAAGGGTGGAAGCACGGATGTAAGGTTTGCGACGAATGCAATCACCACTCACATCTGTATTGTAAAACCTGTAAAAAAGTGGCGGAGGGAATATTTAAGCGATGTGAATGTAACAACGATAATTCTCGAATAATTAACGTTTAGTAAAAATAAATCCGAATTAGCGATAATGATAGTTTAAACAAATTCATCGTTATCGTTGTACGTACGTAATTTATCCACGCTCATTAGCAGGAGTATAAAATTTATCTGTATCACCTTGCCAGGCTTATCACGCATATCTCATAGCTTATTTGTGAGACGGGTCATCCTAACCAAAATTACTTAACTATGGTGAAGTTTTCCTACATAACCTAATACTTTATATGGCCCGACATAGATGTGCAAATATTCTGTATATGAGTGGATTATTTATTTCATGTAAAAAAAGCGAGGTTGAGAATCTCGTAATTAGCAAAAAAAAGTTAGATGTAGAAATTTATAAAATGTCTGAGCAAAAAAATAACTTTATGCTGGGACTCGCCTAGTGATAGTATCATTCATTTCATTTACTTCATTTGCTTTCTTTATTATTTTCCGATTAGTTATGTATCTACCATTTCGGGCATTTGCTCGAGAATTTGTTCGGAAAATATTACCGCAGAATGCACACGTGACTAAAATTTCATCATTACCAGGGACCCGGAAAATTTTGGATATCAAATTGCAAAAATTTATTTGGGTATTGACCAATATTTGGATAAAATTTGGA